CAACCGCTCGGGCCCCTAAAACCTTTCCCCAAATCCCCCGCCTTCCGCTGCTACCCCAGGGCTCCAGCAGCGGGGCTCTGGCAGCAATTTAAAGAGCCTGGGGCTCCAGCCGCTGCTGGGAGCCCCAGGCCCTTTAAATTGCTGCCTGGGGAAGCCAGGCCGCCCCAACCCCCTCCCATTCCCTGTCCCCTGACCGCCCCCCCCAGAACCTCCGCCCCCTCCAACCGCTCCTTGTCCCTTATCCAACCCCACCTCCCAGCCCCGGCCCAACCCCCTTACCATGCCCAGCCCTTTAACAGCCGGTTCTAAACCGGCTTCTAAATTTAAGAACCAGTTCCTGCGAACCGGCTCCAGCTCACCCCTGGTCTGCACAAGAGTGCTGTAGCCGTGCAGCTGTAGCGTAGACACCGCTTGTGTGTGAGCTCAGTGTCTGGGTATTCTCGCACACAGCCCTGCCCAAAACAATACTCAGCCCAAAAACTCTGTGTGTGTGTGATACGCACTTTTTGTCTTTACTGGGGATTATGTTTACAGCTATGTTAATGGGAGGGTGAGTTCACACCTGTCAACCTGACCAGGGTTTTAATCCAAATTATAGAGGTTTAACCCAGCTCATACCACACACACACACATACACACTCAGAGACTCACAACAATAATGGACACAAACACACAGTCACACTTCCAGCACTGGAATGGGCTACCTAGGGAGGTGGTGGAATCTCTTTCCTTAGAGGTTTTTAAGGCCCGGCTTGACAAAGCCCTGGCTGGGATGATTTAGTTGGGGATTGGTCCTGCTTTGAGCAGGGGGTTGGACTAGATGACCTCCTGAGGTCCCTTCCAACCCTGATATTCTATGATTCTATGATTCCCGCCACACTCACATATACATGCACGTTCACACAAATACACTCAGAGAGAGACAGACATACACAACAGAAACACACATTCACACAATCTCTCTCACACACACACCCACTGAAGCACACTTACAGACACATCAAGCTGGCAACCACAGAGATGCAACATGAACACATGGACAGTCCCACACACACAGTCAGACACACAGAGAGTCACGTGCACATATGGATAGTCCCATGCACTAGGGTTACCATATTTAAAAATAAAAAAGAGGACACTCCACGGGCCATAGCCCCGCCCCTTTCCCACCCCCGCCCCAACTCCACCCTTTCCCCGCCCCTTCCCCAAAGTCCCCGCCCTAACTCCCCCCCCTCCCTCCCAGCCACGCGAAAAGGGCTGCCCGAGTGCTACCGGCTTTATGGTTTGCCGGGCAGCCCCTATGCCTCCGGACCCTGCGCCCCGGCCGGGCACTTCTCCTCCCCGGCTCCAGCTGCTCTGCTCCTCCCCGGACTCAGACTTCGACTCTGTTTAAGAGCCAAGCTGCCCGAGCCAGCGCTACCGGCTTCGG